AAACCAGTACAGAGCCAAGCTCACCAGTTCCCTACAACTCCACATTATAGGACCCAGATGGAACAAATCAATGTCAATAATGGAGAGACATACCCTATCTGTCCCAAAATTTATTCAGCACTGAGTTACACATAGAAATCAATACTTTTTAACAAAACTAAAATGCAAGGCCTATCATGTAAAATAGATCCTACTCAAAATTCTTAACTTCTATATAGCTGCCACCTTGGATCTAATACAGCTGCAGAACAGGAATTACATGACTTTTCCATTTGGTCAAACCTCTTCTCAAGTCACTTGTCCTAGAACCTGAAAATCAACTTCATTTCCGAATAGGCATAATTATTGACAAAATATTGCTGATAAATATCCATTTAATATTAATCTATGTAAGTTTACAACAAGATAGCAATGGAATTAAAATATGCAGAGCCCAAGCTGGTATTTAGTAGCACTTTCATACCTTAAGAGTTACAGGATCAGGTCCCTAGGGCTTGATAAAATTTAAACACATATGTCTACACCATTAAACCATCAGTCCCAGGCATCATGGCTGGCTTTCAGTGTTTGTCAAGACTGGGTTTTAGAGTTACACTTCAAAGTTCTAAGTATGAAATACATGTTCTTACTGAATTAAAGCTAATGCCTAGACATTTGTGATCACTGACTGGATGGATTAAAAAAAAAAAAACCAAACCAAAAAACAAAAACCCCACAACTCTTATAATCTCCAAAACTAGTAATTTACTTCCACACATTCACAGTATATACACAAAATCACAACAACAGATACAATCTTACTTTTTTTTTTTAAAAAAGAATATCGATGTAGTGAGTTCTGTGCCTCAGGGAAGACGCTAACTTTCTTTAAGACAGAAGCTGTGTAAACATGCATGTCCCTAGAGCAATGTTTTGGAGGGACACCTACTTGCAATACTCTGTGTTCAAAGGTATGATATGAATGTTGCAAGTATTGGACCTGCCAGAGAGGATGCGGTGGAGTGAGACCCTTGCCGCAGCCTGGAGAGATCCGGGAGAGCAGACTCTGACCTCCTCTAAAGACAGAAAGAAGTCACCCTCACCCCTCACTGACTGGAAGGAGGGCTCCCACCATCCTGAGCAAGGGCAGGGAACAACCCATGTGTCTGTATTTTATGGAAGTTATGAGTAAGAAAACACTTTCTGAAATAACAAACAAAAAATCAGTGGACCATCCTGATTTTAGAAAATGCCAACACATTTTCAAAAAACACTGCGTTACTTTCTATTGCAATACTACTTAGTAGCCTAAGAGATCAGTATTGTAAGTTAAAAGGGACAATAAAAAGCCAAGACAGGTAACTGGTAAAACAATTAACAGATGTCCTCAACAACTCAGTTTTGTAACAGAGAGAGAGGACAGCTGTGTAAAGGGGGAAGGAGAACCTTTGGTGTACAATCTTAAAAGCACTGTAAAATTGAAAAACAATGTATACCTACAGCTTTGCCTGGTGAACAGTCCTTACTGCCAGAGTGAGGGGGGATCTTGATGACATTCCCTAAGCACGTTTCTCTGTTGGCCTGTTCATCCCTCAGGATCCCTAGTGGATCCTGGACAAGGTGGATTCAGACTCCACAGGACCTAGGTAACATCAGTACCTTTGGGGTCATACTCGTTTGGGTAGAAGTGACTGCACAAGATGCAAAGCACTGTAGAATCAGACCCCTGGTCTTTCCCCTTCCCCCAGAAGATAAAAAGCACAAGAACATAATTAAGACACACAATCATCTTATACACAGGCCTGTTCCAGCAATCCTAATACAGCAAGGTCTCCCTATAAACACAGACTCAAGCCCAGTCTCAAGTCAGGACTCTGTTGTCCTTTAGCATCATCTACAGTCCAACACATGCAGAGGCACAGAAGTTCCAGCCCACCACCACCACTCAGACAGAAAACATAAGCACTTCCTGCACCTTACTATGGGCTCAAGCACAAGTTCATGAGGTATGGAAAGAGTGAAGCTAGCAAACCCCCTGAGCTCAGCTCTTTCTAGCTCAGCGTGGACACACTGCACCTCAGCTACGGCTAAGTGATACCCAGCAAGGCAGAGAGCACGCAGGCAAGATCAAGGGCTCTGTGCATTTAGGGCCTCCTTCAAACCTTCTCATTACCTTGTGCAAAGACACAATCAGGATGTGGGTGCAAGACAACCACGGGGCTGGTTTTAAAGGACTGCTACCCAATAAAAGTTGTTCTTCAAAAAAACCCAAAAAAAACAGGAGAGAAGGGAAAAAAAGAGCAGAGCCAAATACTCAGCTGGCACAAACTTTCACAGCCCCAGGCACTAGAGCAATTTATGCCAGCCAAACTCCTGCCCCTGCTGCCTGATTCATTCCTCACCAGCAGGCTTCCCCATGAAACAAAGAGAGGCAGAAGTTACAAACAGTTGACATTTCAGCCACAGCAGTTGTCTCCAGAATGTCAGCAACTACAGAACCTGGTGCTTTCTTCTGGAGCTCCCTCTCTAATCTTAATCTGCAACTAAAGTTAATGCTGATTGGGGTTTGTGCAGTTTTTCTTAATGAAAAGTACTCCTCTGTTTTGATTGAGTTTTTCAGACATGAAATATATTCTTCGGGTATGAAGTTCTATGAGCTGGGTGATGAAAAATAGTGAATAGGAGTTACAAAACTGCTTAAACTGCTTCTAAATTATGCATCCTTGTGACACACGCATCTTCATAGCCTAATGGTGCCCATGGGTAGCACCTCCAGAGAAAGAAGGAGGAATGGTAAGATGCTTGGGCATAGCGATTAAACATTCAGGATCATTCTTTCTCAATCGCAAAGTGAATGCACAGTTTATGTGTTTTATGACCTATCAATCAGAAACGAAGAGGGTGGCTGAAGACAAGGCATGACCATCCAAAGATGGGCATCCTTTTCTTTTGTCAAAGACTGCAGAAGGCCTCTCCAGCAAGTCTTACAGCTATTTCAACATAAGAACGCCTGTCTCTCTGCAGCAAAATTTCAATGCCTATTTTTAAGTTTAGACAGCACAACCAGTATCTCTATCACTGGCCTCCCTTAAGATGGCAGACACGACTGACAACAGTCTGAGCTAGCAAAAAACACGCTCTAATGCAACAGGCTTTCTAGCCATATAGTTAGCAGGAAAAGGGGAAAAAAACCCAAACAAACCCACAGATAATTTCCAAAAGAACTTCAGTGGATTGTCACATCCTGACTTGAACTGGTCGAGTGTTTAAAAGATAAACATCCATGGAGACAACTACAGCCAAGAAAGAAATTCAAAGAATCTGTATAAAGGCTAATCAAAGACACACAAAAAATCCCGCCTTTGTCCCATGTCTTTTTTTTCTGAAATAATGGAAGACAAAACCAGATGTGTGACAAAAGCCCAACAAGGCTCCAGTCAATGGTCGAGTGTTACTAACAAGGCTACTGAGCTTCCAATGCACAGTGGTGACATTTTCTGCATTCCTTCACACTCATTTATTTCAGAGTAAATTCATTGATTTGCACGGAATTGCTCTGGAAATTAGTGTAACTGAGAGCATGTCTGTTTGCACTACATGGGTGGTTCTTTCCTCTCCTGTATAGCCTGAAAGAAAACCCTTCAACAGAAATAAAAGGGAATCGAGGACGAAACACAATTTTATGGGTAATGAAGTTGAGTAAAAACATTGAATGAGATGTACAACCAGCATTAAAGACTTGAGCAGAGAGAGAACTTAACTGAAGAACCACATCTGCATGCTCCATCTTGCCAATCTGCCAAGATTGTATCTGGAGTCAAACTGTGTCCAGAGCCATTTAGGAAGAGAGTCTGCAATGCAGTATTTCAGGGACAAAAAAAAAGGAAAACATAATTCCGAGTGCCTGAACATACAGTTTTCCTCTAGCGCTGTAGAGGGACTGCAGCCAGCTACAGCATGCCTTAGCGTGCACAGCATTGCAGGAAAGACCTTTAGGGGCTTTCAGTAAAGTGTACTGGCAGCGATGGAGGAAAGATAAGAGAGCCAAGCATAAGAATTCCAGGCTCAGAGATGACAGAGCAGACAATGACAGTCTACACTTCTCTGGAGTGCGTGAACCTCAAAGAAGAAAAAACTTATGAAGGATGGCACACTCACACAGGGCATCTGTAGGAGTGACTGAGCAAAACGATGATTAGGAAAACTCAAGGCTGGGAAAAGGCCTCCCAGAGAAAATACAAAATAATTCTTGTTTCAAACAAGACAGCTCATCCTTTTTGGTGCCGTGGGCCAGCTGGCAGTGCAGTAACACTTACGGCATCCCATATTAAAACAGAATTTGCCATCAGCCAGTCTCCTGGACCCTCAGCCCACAGAACTGTCACACCTCCCTTCCACACACAAAAGAAAACTAAGCTGCTAAGTTTCAGCACTTTCCTGGCATGCTCATCCTTCAACCCAGTTTTAAGCCATGGTAGAAAAGGCAGTGGGACATACAGCTTTGTCCTGGGGTTGTCAGACAGGCACTCTGGTCTGGGTTATAAAAAAGAGTATTCCGAATATTCCAAACTGACAAACAGATGCAGAGGATGGCCTCACCTGGACTTCCATCTGGTGCTTCTGCAGTTCTGGGACCAGTAACCCTTTAAGTGAAGTGCTAAGAAGACTAATAAACATTCATGCCACATACGAGCCATCATAATTGCTGTGCCCAGGCAAATGCCGCCTGCACTTGCTTGGGATGTTCAGCGCAAGGGACACGGAGGACTAGATTCAGATTTGAAAGTTCAGTTCCAAATAAGCAAAGGAACAGCAGCACCAACACAGTAACCACAAGTCATGAAGTCTGCAGCTCTGTGCAAAAAGGTTCCTTTTTGGCTGACCATCTTAACATATCCTGCAATAAATTCCTGTAGGTGAGTTTAAAGAACCTTGAAAGACCAATGAGACATTCTGTAAATTATTTCCACCCTAAATAATGAATTTCACTTTGGAATAACAGTCTTTGCTGCTTCTCTCACCTCCGTCCTGAAACTTGCTCAACCTTTCGAAGTATGATGATATAGGAACTTGAACAATATCTAGAATTGCCAGCAGCGTCCGGGTAAGTCTGAGAAGCTCACTAAAACTATAAAAGCCAAAGTATATGAGGTTTCGAGCCAGATGTACCACCTAAGAGAAAAAGAAATTAAAAATGAAGGAAGTATCGGCAACCTTTGTGGTGTTTGGCTGTGCAATACAGCTGCATTTCACAGAGCAACTTTCACAGAGATACAGATCTAGAGTGCATTCAAATTAGTACAAGTCTTTCCACTGATTTAAATGGCCCTTGGACTAAGGCCAGTGACACTAAATGTTTTTCAGAGTTAGACAAAACAATTGGTCAGTCAAATTACCAAACCAGCATGAGATTTAGGAAGGCCTGAAAGGATAGAATTGCAACTGGTAAAATAAATAAGACTGAGAAGCAAGACGCCAGGAAATTGTTTAGAGGGGCAGCAGCTATAGAGAAGATGGAATTCAAAAGAAGAGCAAGACGACTGCATTAAGTTTGAATAGAGGTGATTTCAGATGACCAGAGACAGGAGAGACAAAGCTTGGGAGATAGGCTGGAGGAAGAACTATAAAATCTGTAAGCATTTCCCCTTTATTCAATGTTATTTGAACCTAGAAGATTTAGACCTGTCTAAAGTTTCTGTCAGGAATTTCAAACAATATTTAAAACGCAAGATTAGGTTATTCAGAGTATTTCCTTCAGTGTCATACCTTACACACAGAATAGTACTTACCTATATTGAAGAATCCCTGCATGCTAGTTCACTAATGTGGAAAAAAATGACCACTTACCCACACACATATCTCTCCTCTTGCCACTGAAATGCAACCATCTCAGGAAAATGAAGGAAAAATACAGCTGTTTGACAGCAGACAGTAATACTATTTTCTGCAGTAACAGTCATCACCAAGAACACTGGCATTAGGAACTGGTGTTTCTTTAGGACATTTTACATGGACATTTATTCTGCAGCTACCTTTACTTTGAAAGAGCAAATGTCAGCCTAGTGGGAATGAGGAGGAATACTGTAAGTAGGATGCAGATGGCTGAGAAGTACCTCAAATGTAAGTTTATTTTTCTCTTTGTCTCCAAAAGGAAAGGGCTGATTTACAACTTCTTTCAAGTACTCTTCTACAAATTCCATAGTTAGCGCAAACTTTCTCTTCATTTCATTCCTCGAAGAGTCTGTGAAAGAATCATACCTGCAATGCAAGGCACAGAAGGAAGAAAAATTAAACACCTCTAATAATATCAGGATCAGCTGTCACAAAAGAATAAACAAACTGTCATAATCCTATAAAATTACTGTCAGTTCTCTGTAAGGAGAAGGGGTAGAGGTCAGCTAATTCTGCATAGATATGCAAAGATGGCAGACAAAGGATGCACAAATCTTCCCTCCGAAAGTACCAGGAGCGGTTGCACCGAATGGGAATAATGGAGACAGGAAAATACTACAGTTCTAGCAGATAGCACTCTTAAATCTTGCTGTGGCAATTCAGTAAGTCACGGAGTCTCAGCTGTCCTCTGCCCATCAGCCAGAGTTTACAATTTCCACAAGGAAGACAGTGGATCAGGAAAGCAGCTCGGGACAGTCAACTTCCTCCTTCGCACCACCAACTACGACCGGTTTGTCACATATGTTAACACAGTCCTTCATCTCACTAATGGAAGCAATACCGTCTGCGGCACTGCTATACTTCTTCCTCTTTGTCTCTTCAGCCAGATACTCCCTGTCTGGGTCCAGCCCAGCGGCGCTGCTCCATCACATCAATTAAGCCAGAGAAGCGTTTCCATTGAAGTCAGTAGGCCTGTCTCCCATACTTCAATATAACACATGCTTAAGTATGACACTGGATGGAAGCCAAAGCCACTGTGAACTATTTCTGGGGCAATAGCTGTACCTAACTGTAAATTCTAGCTTTCCAACTGTGGCTTTCAGTTGAGCTTGAAGTATAAAATTGACTTCCAACCCAGCAAACTTATAATGATGTTAGACACAATTAGGCTACTTGAAGTTCAGTTGGTCTGAGGAAAGGCCATTCCATTTGTCCCCATCTTGTTTCCTACAAGAACACAGTGAAAAATGAAACTGGAGGACTTCCATGTAAAGCTGCCTATGGAAGTTTCCAGGAATAATAATACCTTTTCACAAACATGTTGTGTTGACATTAGACATCTACAACCATTTTGTTCTGAGACTAACCCTCACAAAATGCTTTTGTACTTTAGTTTGCAACATTTTCAACTCACTCATGAATTGTGATCTTAGTAGGAATTTCAGTCCACAATCTGGCATATCTGACAGGTACCACAGATTCCTGAGGATCTCTGTCCACATGCATGTGTAGCATCAGTCGGCAAAAAGAAGCCCGGAGGTCATAAGGGAGGCTTTCATCAGACATACATCGTAGGATCAAGTCTACTGACAGCTGTGCAGAAATCTGGTTGATAGCTAGATATTGGCGGTCCAGGCACATTCTCGCAAAGAGGTTCAGTTGGTACCTTAACAAAAATAAGGACATATTTCCAACTGGTTTATTTGAATACCATGAAACAACGTACCTCAGAATCTCACTTTACAAGCCTGATGTCAGCCTTTCTGATGTAAGTGCTAAAAAATGACAATTTCTAACCAAGGGACCGACTTGCCATCAAAAATGCTATCAGGCTCCAGTCCCTGTGAAGACTGGGCTCCCTTTGACACTCAAATGGAGTATTGCTCAATGGAAGGCTGAAGCATTTGGACTATTTGTTTTCAATCTGTGTAAGACATTTTTACATGATCCCATCTCCCCTCCAATCCTCAGTACACGCAGGACACTCCTGCCTCAGAACATGCCTTGCTTCCAGGGCAGCACAACCTAAAAATATAGCCCAATAAATAAAAGGTAAGAGGCAAAATGAGAGAGAGACATAAAGAGCTGCCATGAACAAATGAAACTCCAGATTTTTCTGGAATAAACAGCAGAGATTGTGATGCTTCCTACAGGAAAAAAACTTGAAACAAAATTTCAATCCCAGTTTCTGGCATGACCTGGTTTCCTTTTTTGATAGTGGCAAATGAACTGGGCAAGAACAGCTCCAGGTTCTCCAGAGAGTTTAGATTTTCTTCTGTTTGAACAAGCAGTTTTACCTGTAGTAGGTAAGAACCTCTAAATCCGCTTTTGTGCCCTCCTTTGCCTCCTGAGCCAGATGCCTGATGGCTTTGCCATGAGGCTCCTTGTTACTGTCAATCCAGTAAAGCCACACTTCCTCTTCATCAATGTCATCTGAAATGACTGGGCATTCCAAGGGATTGTCCATTTGTGTCGAAACCAGCCTGCAAATACAAATCATTCACAATGGAGCCACTAACAGACTGCTACGGGTGTAACAACAGAGCAGAGATAACAGAAAGGTATGTTCCAATTACAGATGCTCACTTGGTCTGAATGAGAATATAGGCATTCGCTGGGCTCAGCATAAATTTGCAGATGAGTTCCTGAGTTACTGGTATTGCTGTGGTGTTAGATACACACAGGTCCGATAGATAATCCAAGAATCTGCAGTCAAAAAAGCACAGATGCAACAGAACATGAGACTTGAAATACCACACAGAAACACTGCAGCAGAACTCTCCAGCATCCATCACTAATATGCTCAAGGGAGCATATATCACAAGATTTATCAACATACAATCTTTGCTCATTTGTACTAGTGCAACTCACAACAGATAAAGACAAGTAATAGCTTTAAGAGGCACCCTGAATGGCGCTGAACAATCAGTTAGGGAGAGAAAAGAAAAATATCACAAGTGTGACATTTCTCAGCAAATCAAAGGCCAAAGAATTGTGTCAGAACTTAGGAGTAGCCGGAGGCTGTCTTAAGCCTGGCTGGCAGCAGAGCTCTACTGAAGGCCCTCATCCTTGTCAGGAATTAAAGCAAGAGTGCACATTCTCACTCATCCTTCCCATCAGGTAACACACATCTCCCCAACCCAAGTAGCAAGGAGATGTCACTTGTGCTGGAGACAGCCATGTGCCCTCTAAGGAACTCCATTGCACTGGACAAGTCCATACCTCCACCTTTTAAAGAGGTCTTTTAAAATCTCTGAAGTGACATGGCCAAAAATTAGTGAAGAGTGAAGATCTGGCAGGACCTGAAGACAGGACCTCTGTATTCAAAGAGGTCATTCCACCTAAAGCCAAAATAACAAAGTTTTGCATGGAAATCAGTTTCCTATGAATTTCTCTCTCAAATTTAGGTCTTCTGATGTTTAACAAGGTTCAGGCTGAGGCTTTCCTCTCAGTTGGGATTTTCATTAGGTATCTGTTTCTTGTCCTCTTTTATCAATTCCTCTGTGTGTATTAACAGTAGTCCATACTGCAGCCTTTGCCTCACTGGAATATAAAAACTGCCTCTTCTCTCTACGTAGCTGCTTCTTTTCATGACATTTCGTAGGAACTGAGTATCTCTGAGCCCACCCCACCACTCCTCTAGCAAACGTAGCTAAAATGGGGCAAGAGGCTCAAGAGCTGGTGGGGGAGCAGATATGAGCATGCACACACACACAGATCATATAATCCCCTTCCTTAGAAATCCAGGTAAAAAAATTGCCCGTCTACTATCAGCTCTTCAAGGATCCAATAGTCTGAACCTCTAGAGGTGATCGTCCTACCAGAGGGAATCAGAAAATCATGTCTGTGTTAGCACAGACCACACTCCCCACAAAGTCTGGGAACTGCAAAGGATGAGTACAGAAAGCATTTTTAGAGTACACTTAGGAACAATTTTACCGGTCGCTGAAATGAAACTTTGTGGCAACAGGTAATTAATAGCGCATAGCAATATTGCAACACAAAGATAGTATTAAGTAATAATATAAGTAATCATATTAAGTAAACAAGTAGTAATATTAAGTAAACAGGACATAATTACGCAGAATTGGGGGGGGATACCTCGTTGGAGCTAAAACTTGGGAAATTTTGTAGCTCTCATGTTTTAGAGCATACCAGCACCATTCTCACTCACACAAGTAGTGCTGCAAAAGTCTACAAGACTCTCCATGAAAGTAAGTGCCTTTACTGTTCAGATTGCACCATCTTGGCAAGGTGTATTTTTCAAACATTTATTGCTCTTGGACTTCAGCCTTAAAAAAGTGAATGTATATTTTAATGCACAGCAATTGCGTGATATAGTTATGCAACAACACTATGACATCCTCCACCACAAAGTGACATGGGATTGTCAATAAACACAAGGACCCTTCAGCACTGAGAAGGAGCTGATGGCATCTGGTTTCCTCTTAGTATTCACCAAACCCAATACAGTTTGGCATGGGAGAGGCAATGGGATTACAGAGTGAGGGAAAACAGCTGCAGACATATAGAGAATAACTGAAGCAGTGAAGCACCTGGGCCTTGAGCAATATCCTTAATCGCCAACAGAAAAATGCTATTCACAATTACAGAGGACATTATTTGGCCTTCAGTACATTAATTTCATATATTTGTATTACTTCAGTAATTTTACAACTGAAAATCCAATGAAAAAAAGAGATAGATTTTCCATCAAAAATCCATTTCCTTTATATTCTGACCTACAGCTAATAAAAAAAATTACCAACTGAGTGAAGTTCAAGGCCGGAATTTTTCATTAGGAACAAGATCTGGCCTGAAACACATGTTCACTGGGATCTTCACTGTCCTAAGTCCCTTTCAGGTCTGACCTGCAATCAGGACCTGCAGGAAAACTGATATTAACAGAAGTTTAGGAAAATTGACATCTGTGTAATTTGCACCAAGATTATTAGCAGGGGAACCAACACAAGTGGCAGTCTCATAGAGGAGCTGCAGAGTTATGAGAAATTAAAATTTGTTTGTCTCTCTCTGTCCCAATCTGAACTAAAACCAAATTTTCAAAAGTGTCCTGTAATGTATAAACCTTGTTTGTCAGTAAGATCAAGTTCTGAAATGCAGATATGGTCAAGTCCCAAGAATTACAGATATTTCTGATATTTTCTAGCATGACACTATATGTGGGTTTTTGTCTGCCAGGTTAAAAAAAAATTAAGCTGGGAGAAAGAGACAACAAAGCAATGAATGGCAAGCAGATTCACAGCTACTGCAAATATAAAAGCCTATCAATACAGAAAAAGAACGTTATCTGGACCGCTTCAAACCTTGGCTCTCGATTTCTCCTGAGTAAATTAACAAACGTCTCTATTTCTTTAGCTGTGATGTGTTTCTCTAGCAGTTTTCTGTTGTTGTGCAACAAAGCTGTGATGGTGTCTTCTGCCAGGATATCATAACCAATCTGGGACTGCATGACACAGAAGTTCTTAGCAATGTATTCCTGAAAAAAATGAAAATTCCCATGATGACCTGTTAAGCAGTAATGTTTCTCTTTCAGAATCCGAAGCATCCAGCTCAATTAGCAATCAACATAACGTTCAAAACTTTCCTCTCTGAACTGGCCTAAACAAAATAACATCTGAACACCTAAAATATGTACCCCAAAAACCAGATTCAATATTGGGATGACTAACTCTTCTTATTCTTTGATAAATCAAAGGAACAAATCCATGAAAATATATACAAAATTCCAGAAACGGCAAACAATTTTTTTAAAAGGAAAAACCAACATGTTTTTATAACATTTAAGAAGCTTTCTTTCCTGAGTCTTCCCTCCTCCCTTTCTCCCCCTCCAAGACAGAAATATTTTTGTAAAGCATCAGAAAGAAAACAAAGAAGCCACACATAGCAGTTCAACCTTTTATCTCTAGTCCCCTTAGTCATATAAAATTAGGGCAGTTTTTCCCCACTACAATGTGCAAAGCACTCGACACCATGTTCTGAAATACTTCTTGATCACGGAGAGCCTCCAGCAGTGGGAAATCAGGCTACCTGATAGACTAACCTCTGGTCTGACCCACTGCCATCCCTCTACAAATATTTAAGCAACAGAAACAGTTAGTTTTGCAGACTTCCCACTTTATAATCCAGAGTCCAAGAGCATAACTCTAATAGCAGAAAGCTCATGAATGAAGCAGTGGACTCTCATCTCAGCCTGAGTCTGTGAAAGTATAAGGTGAACCTATGACATTTGTTGCTGATCATTCAATTCATACAAAAATGCCTATAAATCAAAAACACCGTTCTTCAGCATGGGACAGTATATGACAGTGAATTCTTACTACTAACCTACACAAAACCCAGTCCTTTCACCATTACCACAGAATCCCACTTCTAAGTGCAGAGAGAGACGTCAAACCCAGGATATATAATTATAGAAATCAAGAGGAAAATTGTCTTGAATACCACTGACCTGGTTCTTCCTATAGTCCTGTTGGGAATGTCTGAGGACTCTGTAACATAACCTTAACATGTATTTGTATGGAGCATATCTCTGGTCACCTAGGTCTTCAAGTCTCAGCATCGATCCTTCACCTTTGTCCTTAAAAGGAGCTTTGAGGATGCCGAATATCTGTTCAAAATCAAAATCACTGAGAATGAAAATCAAAACCAGATTTTTGTTTAACTGATAGCAGTCGATCGAAATGTCTCCTGACAGGATCAGCACAAGGGCCTTATTGACCAAAGTCAGAAGTAAATCACTGCGCTTATCTACCCCCAATTTTAAACATTGTTAGTTAAGTGCCTTAACTTTGGATAAATTAAGGATGACAAAGGAAGACAATTCTGGCTGCTGTCCAATTTCATCCATTTTCCTTTTTTTTCTTTTCATTCCAGTAGGCTACTTAAAGAGAATATTAATTTCGATTAACATGCAAGTTAACTGTCATACAAACAAAGTCATGGATCCATAATGGCATCAGAATTATTCCTATATGGGGAACACTTCCAGGATTGGGACCATGTTGCAAGCTTGTTTCAAATTTTGTCAACAATTTGCTATCAAACACAGTCTTAAAAGTCATCGGAATCACGTGAAACTAACAGCCATCAGACGTGGCCTCTCATGCTTCTACCTGATGCACAGACCAAGAGGTGAGCCTTGACTAAGTAGTGTCATATCTACCCAATCCAACCAGCCACAAACCCAACATGGCATAAGCCAAGTTACCTAAAACCAACATTTTCTCAAACCACTCTCTTCTACAATCTGTTTGTAAATACAAGCAAGTCATTAATACAGTAGGACATACCTGAGCCAATATATTTTGTTCCCTCATTAATTTTTGTCGTTCCCGGTTTGGCTTGGTAATGACCACATCCAAAACTTCCTGCCCGTTATTAGGCACATCAGCAACAAAGAAAATTAGATCTTCCAGTAACTTGGTTACAAACCTTGGATAAATAGACAAACCATTGTTATATACAGTCATTCAACACTTGCTAGGATCCATTAAGAAAGAAAATCACCTTTTGGAACAAGCTTTATCTAGCGCAATGGAACTTCAATCACTGCAAAGTTAAGTTTGACATGTACTTACGGAGGCATTAAACAACAAACAAAGGGGGAAAAGGGAGAAAAATACAGGGTGCTGGATTGATGCAAAATATTCAGAAATCCAAAATCTGTACCAGCTGGCCTCAAGGCCTAGGCACAGTAGAAAGACACTCTTACACAGCCTAGCAAGGATTTTTATACTTTATCATGGACATGGGTCTCTGAAATAAGATGATGGACTCACCATCATCAGAATAAAAACATTCTGCCACTAGACTATTTCCCTACTGACCCAAGAAACTCTTGAAAAATTATTATATTTGTTTCACTTTTTGCTACACAAAAGAAGATTTGGCAGAAGCAAGTGTTAAAAAGGACAGAGGCAGTAGTAATTCTTCTCTCCTGCCTTCAGAAAATGCAGAAAGTAAGATGTCATTGCCTCCTTGTTACTAACATACCTCGCCAGGAATGCACAGAGAGAAGTACGGAAGCCCACAGATTTCAATGGATCTCCCTTAAAAGAACTTGCAATATTTACAAACAAAACCCAAAGTGTCTCCTACCCTGGGGAAGCATCATCTGAATTTGGACAACATCTAGTCTAATTACTAAACCTGCAGGCATGCTATGAAAGTGGCAGGAAAATGCCCAGTAGATTTTCAAAGTTGTCTCTGGGAGCCAGACACAAAGCCAGACACAAAGCTTCCACTACCCACAAGAGGGCTGGGCTGTTCAGCTAAACTCTCTGAGTGAGCTTTAGCTTTAAATGTCTCAGCCCACCGGTGGAAAACAGCAGCCCCCTCCGACAGAAATGTAGAAAGGGCAGATGTAGGATGGAACAACCAGGAATAAACCATTGGGGCCCCAACTTACCTAAGCAGAAAGGTGGTAAGACAAGGAAAAGAGGGGGTTTTCCCAAAGGAAATCACAGGAATACACAAATAATGGCACTATTCTGAACCCACTCTGAAATGTCTTACGTGCGTTGTACCAATCTGTCAACACCAAGACTTGACAATATTGGGTTGCAGTGACACAGCAATGCAAGGTTAATACAGGGATGTCACACCTTGGTTATGTCATATCCCCCCTCTGGTTCAACTCATCACAAAACGGCCCATCAGCTTTTCAAGGCTGGGCACCAACACCCAGGCCATAACAGATCTGTCTGTTACAATAAATCCTCCACCTGATATTAAACCATCTGGTCTAATTGCTACTGACAACCAACAGCAAAAATTCAGTTTTATCACCAAAAATTAATGTTTTCAGCAAAAAGCCGTAGGTGACACATGGCAGAATAGAAGTTATAAATTAACACTGCCAGAGATGCTGTCTAATATTCAGTTTACCCACAGACAGCTGAAAACAAATAGCAAACTACATCACTGGCAGTGGGATGTATTTGGCTACAATGTACAACAAAATCCCTTAATTCACAGGCGGGTGTGAAGAATAGACATTCTAACAGCGCTACAGCTAAAACACAGATGAATACAAAGGATAAACCCCCAAATTATGTAAAACAGGAAAAGAGAGCAGGGAAAAATAGAAATAAGAAAAGGAAAGGGACTATTGGGTCAGCTTCTCGGTCACTCTGAGACCCCCTTCTACCGCTCTTGCAGTGTGAATGTGCAGTAAAGTGAACGCCACACGACCCAAGAGCCCTGCCGTGCTGCCTGCTGTACAGACGGCTTTCTTGCACATGAGAATCAAATGCAGCAGAGCCCCATATTACAGCTCAGAAGTGGTTTGTCAAAGGAAATTGAGGCAAACACTTTGCATTTGCCCAAGGAGCTACCCATTTATTTATGTGGACAGTGAGCTGGGGAAGTGCTGTTTACCCCCATTTTACAGAGGAGATACACAGAGCAGCCTGAGGCGCAGCAAGGATGCTCTGACAGGGATGGAATCTAATCCCAGGCTAGCACCCTCAGCACTGAAGTGTCCTCTCCCAACTGCCTCTGTGTCCACAGGGGTGTTACTAACTTACGCATTACTGTGATGCCATGATGTCATGAGGAACCAAACACCAATTTAGGAAGGAAAAAAATAAAACTCACTAACCTCCTTTCATTCTGGGTTATTGTTCCATTCTCCAGCTTTTTAACAGTTGACGCTAGAACTTTGTTGGCGTCATTGGCAAAGTCCAAGTCTCTGACCTCAGACAGAGGAACTGATACAATGGCAAAAGCTTCCTTGTCCTCTTTTGTTTGGCACGTCCCAATCTGCAATAGTTTTTGGTTTAATATGGGTAAGCAATCCTCTTACCTTTATCCTAATTATTATGTGTAGTTTATATGTTAGAAGTGAGATCACCAGTAGAGAACTTCAGGAATGAGTTTGGGATTTCAGCCCCAAGATATATGTGTTTACCTTTAACATTACAGGCCTCTCTTCATCAGTGTCTATTGGAATGCTGGTACTGGTGACCCAAGTGTTAGTGCATAAATGCCTCAGCCGGACGTATGAGTTCCTAAAGGAGAACAAAGCAAACAAGAGGTTAGATGGATCCATCCTGAGCTAGAGCGGGCAAGGTGGGATGCAACGCAATACGTGACCGTGACACAAGACTTGAGGGCATGAGTCACACCAGCCACTCGTAGTAAAAGGGTGAGGGAGACCTAAAAGATACTGCAGTATCCTTTTTTCTTGTCTCCTTTCTCACCCAGAAGAGAGCTACAACAAGAACCAACAGCATCTTGGGATTATGCCGAATGCTGTTTTTAAGTATTTATATAAGCCTAGGAGTAAAGAGCATTCCTTAAAGAAAAAAATTAAAAAGGAAGGTGTTACAAAATCCCATCTGAAAAGAAATGCATTTCATGAATAAAACCAATTCTTTTCTCATTATTTTTTTCCACAAAGTAACGAACCCTTTCAACCTGTCACAGCACAAAAGCCAGAAAGTAAAACTGACCATGGTTTCACAGCTTTACCATTATGATCTGCAAACCGTTGTTCCAGGGAGCAAGCATTTACAGTACCAGTTCTCAACTGAAAATCAACCGAACAAAGAGCAGACATAAGATTCTTCTAAATTCCTTCCATATGATAATCTGCGGTATTATCAAAAAGCAGAGCTGAGAAATCAATTACAATTTTTACTCTGAATTCCACTTTTTAAATATATTCACTGTGGTCTTCGTTCACGCTCTCCCTTTCATGCTGATGGGCTTTGAGTATTCAAGTAAGCAAATTATCTGGCAAAACTTAGCATAGGAAATACACTTCAAAGCTGCATACATCAGTATTTGCGGGTACCCAGCTTTAAAATCCACCCTCATAACAACTGGCCCCAAGTGTCTGCATGCCCATCCAGGCACAGCCAACACCGTGTGACTTATCTAGCCAATCTCAGCTAAGCAACACAGTTGAAATTTCAAATATTCACAATTAAAACCCAGAAGCCACTTGCTGAATTCATTTGAATAACAAATATGTTCAGTGGCATCATGATCTGTCAGGGAAACAGAACCCCAGTTCACCACACACGTTATTTGTTGGGAACAATTCAGTTAGATCTATTAGCAGGACAGTTTTTTTCAAATAATGCACAGAGCTCAATTCTGTCCTCATATATATCTGTGCAATATTTAGCCTATTATTTTTCTCTTCACAGACTCTCTTTAAGTGTCACTTGTTTTATCCTTATAATTATTTTACCCAGTCACAGCAGCAGTATCATGTTTTATACATCCCTTGTTTATCCATGAACACTCCTCAAGTTTTAACTGAAGGATAATACTTGCTCGTGTTTGATTTTTTCTGCTTTACTCACCAGCACAATGCTAGGAAGAAACACTGTCAATGCAGCACTATTTTTTGCTCTTTTTTATTTTGCTTTTTTTTTTTTTTTTTTACCTTGGAACCAGGCAATCAGCTCTCTGAAGAGTGGTGGCATCCAGTTCAAAGAGAGATGCGATGTCATTTCCATGTGGCACAGAGACCAAAGTATACATAATCTTCTCCCCTGCTTGGCGTTTCTTCTTTGAAGCAGGAAGGTCGCCGTCTCTCTGCTGATTAGGCACAAGGGTTATTTGCTTGCATCAGGGCCCATTACAAATTCTCCAATTATCTTGCGGACAAGCAATACATCTGGGTTTTTTTGGTGGGTTTGTTTGGGGGTTTTTTTTACATTCTAGTAAGAATGTACCATGACTGGCTTTGGAGTTTGTAACACAAAGGATGCACTTCGCCCCGGGTACACGGGGTCTCAGACAGTCATTATAACAACAGCAGGTCACAAGCCACAGAGGCTGCAGCACCATATACGTTATTACTTGACACCTACAACTTCAAAAAATCTGCAGTAGTTGCAGACCCTTCACTCCCAACAGATGTAACTCCACAGCGCTGGTTTGGAAAGGGCTAAAGTTAAAAGAAGAGAACTAATGAAAATTGGATTTTTTAAAGGGGGGAGGAGATTTTAAAAAGCATGCAATTTGCCTAATTCCACTGTTGTTTTATTTAAGTTTGCTCATTTTTTTTCCTCTCATATGGTCAGAATCACAGCAGCACACTTTCCAAACAGCAAGAGCCAGAATATCTGCTCCGCTAAGATCAACTTGTCATTGGAAGGGGGGACACACAAAGCACCAGCTAGATGGTATTAGAAATCTTAGTGCAGGCTGACAACGTGTTGGAGGCTGGGTCCCA